AAAGAGTGCGCTTTTGTGAAGAGGGCGCCACCAAATTTGGAGGACACTTTTTTAATTGGCTCAAAGAGAGAAGTGGCCCATCTTGTTATGTACTATCATTGGTAATGTATATCATTATAATGCCTTCGTATGTTTTGCCTTAGTCGGAGTGAAGATTATGTCACTTCGCGTTTTCCCGATTCTTTTCCCTGGGACGAGGATACACACACATGCGGTGGACATGGCCTTGACTTGACCCAGGCACATGTGAACGAACTTTTCCGGTTCGGTAACCGTGATTATGCGAGGTCGAGACAGAGAATATAATGCCGCCTGGCTTATTACTCTTTGTCGTACAGTTAGAGACTGACGCTGTTTATAACGTTTCACATTACATGGGCTTATTTAGACAGACTGTTGTTTTGCTGTGCATGTGCCCACATGTTGCTACTTTAAATAATACTAGAAAAAAAGTCACTGCTCTGTTTCTTTATATTCTTGTGTTTGTCTCAAAGGCAGACAGCCGCATAACAAAGAAAGTGTTGGATTGGAATCCACAGGGTAAGAGAATAGAGATCAAGGGGAAGACTGCGTGGAACTGGAGGAGAATCACAGAAATTGAAGAACAGAAAAGTGGGAAGACATGGAATAACATCAAGAGGCTATCCCAGGATAGAGAAAGGTGGAAAGTGTTTGTCCGTGGCCTATACCCTGGTGCAGGGTGAGAAAGGCAATGATGATGATGTCACAAAGAGGCACATATAACTACGTATAGAGGGAAAGTCTGAAAAGTTACAGCTGTATCTTTATCCAGGAACTGCGACTATGAGAGTCAGCTGTGTTGATTTCAGCATTGTGGTTGCTGCTTCTTCTTCCTTTACTACAAGTGATTATTACATGTGTACATTTACACGAATGATAAGAACTTAGTTGTAACGGCAAATAAAAAAATCCAACAAACAAATAAACCAACAAAAATATTTTTTATAGGTCTACCTTTAATATCTCCTCTATTTAACCTAGATTTAAAGTCATAGGTGAAATCATTAATAAAATAATAATTATTAAAATCCTGATTAATAAGTAGAAAAGTTATGGTTACTTCAAGAAGAAAATGGTATAAAACAAAACAACGAACCGTTTTCTCAGATTTCAGACTAAAAGCCCTGAAATTATTTTTATAAGACTTGTGCTCGTAAAGAGATTTACTGGCTATGTCTGGTCTTCGTATTCAACCACTTCCCTTAAACGCTCCTACTTATATATAGGACCAAGGCAAGGAGATTAAAAGTAATGGAGGATGCTCTGTGGGCGGCACCGCACGCCTGATAGGAGCCCTCTCTCGCGGCGGAACCGTGGGCTACCTGCGCTGCGCGATTGCCCGATTAAGGCACTGAAATCTAGATAAATAAAGAAAGAAGGTTTTATTCCGAAGTCCTTCAGATTAGGCAAGTCAATTAGTAAAAATGCCTTGCACCTGTGTTGTATTTAAGTGTAAGAACCGATATGATGCTTCAGTGGACCGAAGTTTTCACAGTTAAGTTGTTTCCCTTTTAAAAAATTTGAATGAAAGTATTTCTATGCCCCTAGCAACACAATTTAAATCATTAATTCATAAGAGGCTGGCCCCGGCGCTACATGCCAAAGCCAACCCAGGCTGAAAGGGATACAACACCCCAGTAGAAAGACTGAGATACTCAATTTTTTAAAAAGTATTCTTATTCATAAATATATAATTATTATGAGTATATATATATTATGTGTGTGTATGTATATATACATATTATACAATTTAATTAAAGATATTGCTTTCCTTTGTGTGTGCACATTAGATGCTACTGTAGTCTAAATGTAGATATCTAGAGGCTCCATTAGAACATGAAATCAATATTCAACAACAATAATGATGAATATTTTCTATGTTAAAGAAACACCAAACCATATCAGATGAGGGGAGAAGGTAGGGTGGGGTGGACAAGAGTTTGAGTCTTGTTAGATAGAACTATACTCGGTTTAATTCTATTGTTGTAGTCTTCACCTAAGATCCCACAATCAATAATTCCGGTTCATTTAAGATTCTGCTGTTAAAAAATAAACCAAACAAAGCAACAACAAATTTTACTACACAAGAGTCATCACTAAGATAAATTATTCCCCTCTGGAGTGTAATAAGGGACTAAAAACGCTGCTCTCCATATCATACTTTACTGAAGAAAAAAAAACCCTTCAAAGGTTATCCACGCTCATGCATGCGATCACACTTCCAAGGGTGCTGTTATCTCTTTTTTGGGGGGAATATTTGAAATCATTGTGCGCTCCACTTTGTGAAAACCAAGAAACAAAATTATTGTAATCAATAATATTATTTATAGACCAAGACATACTGTTAGCAAAAAAATTATATAAAGCAAACATCGACCCTCTTTTGTGTCCGCTATTCCTTACACATAAAGTTAGTTATGGCACACGCCTAGAATCATGCAATCATTATATATATCTTAAATTCAGTTTAAAAGTATATTTTCATCCATTTCTTATAATTATATATTTTAGCATCTTGAAAGATTATCTTGTTAATTTGGTATGTTTGATAATTTTATGTTACTCGGAAAAGTTTTCTTCTTATTTTACACATCTTTTTGATTTTTAAACTAGATTATAACATACAACTCTTAAAGAATTGAACAGTCCGTATCGCACACATAATTTTTTTCTCCCTGTCATTATCCGTCAGCCTGTCAGTTGATCACAATCTCTCTCTCTCTCTCTCTCTCTCTCTCTCTCTCTCTCTCTCTCTCTCTCTTATTTAATTCTTCCCATTTTCCTTCGTCCCTTCCCAAGGCCCGCCCCCCCCCTCTTAGCCCACACTCGGTGGCCATATTTGATCCCCAACGCGGCGTACTGCTCGCGGCGCCGCGAAGAGAGAGAGAGAGAGAGGAGGCTCCATTAGTTCTAAGCTCCTTGGACCAAGGAGATACATTGTGTCAAGAGTCCATAATACGGGTAGACTAACCTGACGTTTTTTTTTTTTTTGTTGGTTGTTTATTTTTCTTGTTTCGTGACTCGGCACGCCCTACTTAAGATGCCAACACAGCAGGTGTATTGGTTGTTTTCTCACAGTGACTATTCATTCGACCGAGGTGCCCTCATTTCTCCTTCAGTCCAGTTATGCTTTTCAATCCGCTGCTTTTTTATATTTCTATTTGTAATAAAAAGCCACCCTGTTCAGAGTACTGTTTTGAGTGCCATAAGGTGCGAGTTTTCTTACATATTACCGTGTTTACTTGTTGTGGGAAGATGGGGTGTTCAAAACAGTCTCAGAATAGTACGTAGGTAACTAGTATATCGCCGCTTGGGGGCCTTGCTCCATTAACTTTGCATCATGGGACGCCATGAAATCTTAAAACAAGTTTAGAGACGTCACTTTCAGTAATTAACTCTCATACTTTGCTTTCCATAAATTCTTCAGAGCTTTTTTACAGTATAAAATACAAAAGTATCTCTTCTCGCCCCCCCCCCCCCCCCTCCATTGTCTGAGTTGTATGCACAGAGTTACCCCTTTTTAAACCTATAGTGTACATCAATGGTTGTATGAGATCTTTAAAGAGTACCTATTTTCTTCTTCACTTTTCTGCGCTGGAAACAAGGACATCAGAACAAACCTCCTTGGCTGAAAAGCTTTTTTTTATATTTGGTTGCCAATTTGTAATAAGTAGGCCTCTCAGTAAATTTATTTATACTTGCAGTTGCTGAAAAGATATCGGCCAGTGGATCGTGGGGTTGCTCAGTGCGAAATACTACGCGTGTGTCACACGGTCAGCAATTTAGGCTTTTAAAAAGTTCTTTCACCATTCAAATATGGCTCATCGTAACTGACGTATATTTTTTTAGAAGGCGTATGACCTCTTCAGGTCCTTCCTTTGGCTGTACATACATCTGGAAAAAAAACCCCCAACAAAAAAACAACCTAATTTTTTTTTAAGTGTTTTTTTTTTTCAGGAATAAAAGACAGCGAACTGTATTTTCGGGTGACTGACTTGACTGAATAGTAGGTAAAGGTTCAAGGATAACTACAGCATTTCGTTTCTCTGTCACACGGGAAGAGCGGCTGAAAGCAAGGCGCGGGACGAGAGTCGCAGATTCCACTTGATGACATTTTGACCTTTTAATAGGTTTTTAAATAAAGCTGTAAAAATATATTATTATTATTATATTATAGTCAAAAAATATATTGCCAAACATATTTCCGAAGGAAGAAGTAAGCTCTTTTTTGCACATCCCTCTACGTTCGCTAAAAGAGGAAAGAAGCAACAGAATACAAGCAACCAGAAAAAAATACAATTAAAGAAAAAAACTCACGAACATCCATTCCCCTCTTCAATAGAAGATGCAACGGAAAGCAAACTAAACTACATGTATTAACAACTGAAGTCAACAAATAGCAAAGGACTATCAACACAAATCTCATTTAATCGTCTTGTAACATATACAGTCCTTTCCGTTTATAACAGCCTATGTTATTACAGGAATTTGGATGATAAATCTCCGTTTTGTTTTTCTCTTTAAAAGTGTAAGTAATATGAACCTTGCTACTACAACAGACTCGGATATAACAGTGATCTTGCAGCGAATGAACTTGTTTTCGATCCGTCATATTGATAAAATTTGTTTCAACCAAGACATATCGCCTGTTTGTATGATCGCTTGCCTGAGCACAAACTTTCAAACACACTATGTTGGGGTCACTGATTGATTCCGTCTCAGAGTCAGCAAAACGGCCCACTGGAAAAGGATCTGCGGTAATCGAAAATAAAGTACATGTAAACTGAAGGTGCAATGGTACTGGTAGTTTTCCTTGATAACGTTTATGTGATGCCTCTTAATAATTTAAGATACTCGCGGATAGTCCAGCACAACAAGCGCACACTGAAATCAGCAACCGACCATGTTGGATGTACATTGTATATATCTGACACTACTGAACATGAATTACTCATCCTGAAGAGTGCTAAATTAATACTGTACACCCAAACAAGGAGACATAACTACTGCAATTAACAATAGTGAACCAAACACAGTTATTGCTCATGTAACAGATATTACAGAGTTACAGTTTATAAAAGGACTCGCTTATAACAGGGAAAAACTGCCGGTCCCGTCTGCCCTGTATCTAGGTCTGACTGTATCCCCCCACCTTCCTAAAAATTTTTTTTAAAAATCACCTGCAATAACAAACATAT